CCCAAACAAGTTTCTTTTTCACAATCAGCTGCTCTGTGTCCATAACCATTCCCAAGGTTCCCTTAGCAAATTTTCAGAGGTCGCATTGTATTACTAAACCGGTCAATGAGACATAATTTTGGTAACCGAAACCTGGCAGACAGAGGACATTCTGGACTCAGTACTACGCCTTCCCGGTGTGACGCGATCACCCTACGAGGAGTGGTGGTGTCCCACTCTATTTTAACAGTAAACTACAACGTGAGGTAGTTGGTTATCTTGCTGCGGCTTCTTATCCCTTATCAACCTGGCAAGTAACATGGCTCATCCATTAAGTAAACCATTCCAACGTTTGTTGGACAAATTTGTGCTACCATAAACATGGAAACAAGAAATAATCTTACCAATAAACAAATTGGTGCAGGTGGTGACCCGGCTAAATACCGCTCTCTTACTCTCTTCTCTGTATCAACCAAAGTTATGGAATCCACTGAGGCAGACTATGTAGTGACTCATTTGGAAAAATAGATTGTTCTATTCCCGTTGCAACATGGGTTTTGTCGCAGACGATCGTAAATCACTAACCTCCTACTGGCTTAAGAGGTTTGCACAAAAGCAGTTATTCAGGGCGATCCAGTGGAGGTAGTGTACCTCGACTTCTCTTAGATATTTGACCATAAGAACCACGAAATACTGATGAGAAAACTACGCAGCTAGGGAGTTCGAGTTTCTGGGTCACTATCTGATCCCATCTCCCACGGAGTTACATAGGAATCCGTGCCTGGACTTCAACTTTTTCTAATTATCATAAACGATCTTACGAACGTTCTGGGGTCATAGTGATAAAATATAGAANTATAGAAAACAGTGACAAAACCTGAGGACCCACTGGGACTTCAGAGCTCAATTAAGGTTACTTTTCATTCGTCGACCGAAAATGGAGTAGATATCAATGCATCAAAATGTATGGTTGTATCCCTTCACCACAAACTCGGTTTCCGTACTTCCTGGGATATCTATCTATCTATCCATCTATCTATCTACCTATCTATCTATCAACCATCGGCGCATTCTTCCATCTAAAGATTATTCCATCAACAGTCAAGGACGTTTCCGAGAAAACGGTCAGTGATCAGTGCATACAGAAACTGGCCTATTCATATTAGAGGGGGTGTTGTGATGAACCAGATTTCAACGAACGCTAATGCAAGTCACATGATACTGCAGTTTTTATTTCGTAAAAGCATAACCCAACTTTGGTGTATATGCACGCAAAGTTCTCCTCGATTTATTGGTTTTCTCAAGGTGACCACGTTTTGACAGGATTCTCACTGTTGAGAATTTTCTCGCATAGCAATGATACTATTGGTCTGTCCAATTTAGACGTTGCGGATCAAACGAAGTGTTACAGTCCAACCTAGGCATATTGCAGTGCTCAGAGGCCTACTTCAACCTTCAATCAACTGGTTCAGCCAATTTGACAGTTTGGTATACGATTAATCGGGTAATCTGTCTGTGATGGTGAATCACCGTAATAGAAAAGGGGAAAGAATGAGCATTACAGGATCTTTTAGTTTATTTAATAGGTCACGTTGTAGGTGCATTCGTGCACCTGTACTGGCCCCATGCAGTGCAAGCGAAAAATTGAAAGCGACTTTAGAGAACCGTATATGACAACTGACTACTTCGATACTTATCAGTAGCCAAATTAAATAGTCTACTGTTTTTATACATTAGTAGGTTTCTGTCGTGGACCTTGTCTCATGCACGGCACACTTCTCGACAATGGAAATGCATCAATATTCATTGATTAGGCGAAGACAAGCAGCTTATATGTGGGATTAATGCAAGATATTGACCTGCTGCTTAGTGTTACCTGTAGAACAGCGGCGTTAATCACCTTTTCTGGCTATCGTTTAAATATCTGGTTGTTTATTTCGCCTTCGAAGGCAATTGTAAGATTACCGCTCTTCTTTTCATTCTCATTGCTGCTGATGTAGGTAGCGTCAACGAACGAACGAACCATTGAAGGTAGCTATCTTTTCGAAGTGTGTGCTTGACTTTCTCAATTTTTTCCTTTATTATCTCGCTCAACCAGAAACCGCGGACCCCGGCATTCATGTATTTTACAAGATTCTTCTTTACTGTATGGATATGACGCTGAGAAAGTGCATGTACTGACATTACCAACTCGGTTTGCAGTAGATAGAACTGTATATTTTTTTCTTTCTGCCGGTTTACGTCAATAAAACGCAATTCATTTCCGTCCTGTCATTTCAGTGTAAAAATTAATAGCACTGGGTAAAACATTCCAATATTACAGTGGCTAAAATCTTTCGTTTGAAAGGGATAACAATGCCATCAACATAAAGAAAATGTAGAGGAAGTTGTTTTATAGGGCCTCGCAGGGAAACAAAAGTACCTGCTAACAACGGACTCAGGGGCTACCCTGACTATCTGCTTGTAGATCTCACCAGTAACGTGACCTTTATCAGTTTTTGTATGGTCACTTGCGCAACAAAAGTAACGTCGATGCGTCTATATGAGTAGTAATGTTTTCTCACTCCGCAACAAATGCAAATTTGATGGCGTCTGTGCTACATCAATTCACTCCGTTGCATAGGAAGGAAAAATCAGGCATGTTCTATCTACAAGAGGCATAAAACTCATAACCTACGTTTAAATATCGAATGATCCTACAAATTGTTTATCGGAAACTTGTCCGCACGGTTAAAACATGCAATAATAGGAAGCTGTTAAAAATACCATTGTGCCATTCTGTTTCTCTCTCACTTTCGTAATGTTCACATCTTCGTCATGCATCACTGCTCAAAACGTAGGTAGACCAAATGAAGGGGCAATTATTACCTATTAGTTATCCAGTCGCCATAGGTATTCCATTTTGATCAGTCTTTCGCTTTTCGTTCTGTCTACATTGTCAATCATCCTAATCAGCATTAAAGCACACATTCGGTGTTTCTCCGTGGCATCTATCGCTAAATAATTGGCTCGATAAACAATTTAATGCTTCGATTATTGAAATCGACAATCAGGTTGTGTTGTGAGTTACTACTTACACTTGTGAAGCGATTGTCGGATTCCCACGGTATCCGTGAGTCGATAAAAGGATTCACTGTTGCAAAAATAGAAGAGACAAGCAGACTGCCAGGCTGGTGATCACCGATGAAAGGACGATCGCGAAAATGCTAACCAACTGTTTCAAATTAAATGTTTCATTCCGTATAAGCTTAGTTACCTCTATCGGATGCTGTTCTTCGAACGAATAACTCTTCTCGTCCCGGCATTGTCTTTTGGATACATAACACTCAGAGAGAACCGATTATTCGTCCCCAGGCTCAAAAACCACAATATACTGCTTTCCGCTTCAGGTGTGAACCATATTTGTCGTTGCAATCAGACATAAACATCGAAAATCACGACGGTTATTTCATCCGGCTGATTGAGGTCAATTCGGTTAGTGCACTCTAGTCTAAACTGCACCCGAACAAAGGTCATCGAGAGAAAATAATCTTCTTATGACTAAATTTAGTGATCCGATAACGCGCAAATATTTTTTGTAATTGCTCAAAGTCAACATTTCAGTATCTCATGCAATACTAGTCGCTAGTCTGCATAGTGATCGCAAAAATGACGTCAATCACATCAATCTGCTAAACAACAGAAGTCCATTAGTGCCAAATTTTCAAATCGAATGGGGAGACCGATGAGCGGCAGGAAACGGATGGGTAGGATATTTTTAGTTAGTTAACGAAATCACATCACATCTGTTTCAGTTTTCGCAAGCATTAACCATCCATTTTCATGCGCCCGTTTTTTTGCAGTCTTCTGGCCACCTATTTGGATGGAAGAGCAGAATGAAGATCGGAATATTTAGAGCAGAGTCAGAAAAAAAAACAGGAAATTCATATAAACTGGGGTTGCAATAATAATGAGTAGATGCGAGAGCGCCACCCGGTTGTATCACTCTCTAACCACCGGCAACCATGGTCTCGGCATTCCCAGCCATGGAGCCTAAAAGGACCTATATAACCCAGTCACCTCGTTAGGATTTTCATATCCTCATGCCTTATTTCAGTATTGCCCACGATTCCCCCACCAGACTCGTGGAATCCGGCGTAGACAGCGGTGTTCGAACAACGAAGATCGATTTTATCCTGTTCTCCTTACGACCAGGTCACATCAGACATTTCACGCAATTATTCAGACTCTGTCAAGATAAAAATGAAATGGGGGAGTATACAGTAAATTTTGATAACCGTAAACAATATGCGTATGCAACTAGCATATTTGTAAATTCCAAACCACGCCAACATAGGCAAACTGAACAAACTATTTACGAAAACAAATTTCCATGTCAAGTAACAATTTATTCTTCAAAATGATTACCGACTTTGTGACGGAGATAGTCTGTCGGTGCAGAGAGGAGGGGATTGAAAACAGAAACTGAAAAAAGAAAGAAAAATAACTTCAAACAACACTAAACATGTCACGGTTGCAAAGCGTTCGGAAAAGCGAATAGATGAAGGATAAGAGATATTGTGTTTTTGACCGAGAAAGAAATTTTTGAAGAAATACATAATCTATGATGTGTTTTCGACCTTGACAGCTATCAAGCGGAGTAGAATTAGCTTTTCCAAAAACTCATAGACAGTTTGGAAAATTTTCGAATATGAATGCATGAAGGTGAAATGCGACATATGACTGACAGAAGATTCAACTGAACTGGAATTTTTTACTTTTGTTCTCTTCGGAACGGTTACGTAAGTCATGGCTGTACATGAATGAAAGTAGGTAGTCAATGTTGTGAGGCTCGTGCTAAAAAGAAAACTCAACAAACAATCCCTCAGGAAGAGGACTGCAGCAGGTGTAAAAACGAGGAAGCGAGGCAAAAACGGCATCCGAAAAGAAAGTTGATAGAACCGATACTGCAAACAGTCGGTACACAAGCCGGCGCGAGGAAGATCGCACACCACTGTTTCCTCTGGGACAATGGTAAGCAACTAACGACCACGGCGACGATTTGAACGCGTTCGAGGTTGAAGATCAGCCATAATAGAGGAGAAATCAGACAGACGTTGATAATCCTCATCTTCAAGCACGTTTGTTTGTGCACCGGATTCAACGAGCACATCCATACCATCAACACAACGTATCGGTGCATCCAATATGGGTCTGAAGTGTGCACAAGACGGACCCGGCGTATTTATATCGGCAGCATCCGTTCGTTCGTGTGGATCAAATGCAGGGTTAGCTGCAGATTTTGGCAGTTTAAGTGGACAAGGAAGCATCTCCGGCATAACGGTAAGATGGAGAACCAAGCATGCTAAGGAAGGCCACTCTTTGTCCAGGCCCTGAATAATAGATATCGGAGAAAATAGACAACCAACCGAGAAAAATAAGCTTCATAAAATGAACGATACACATGCTGATGATATTTTGTCAACCCAAACACTTTGAATCGCATGTACTACATACAGTGAATTTAGTTTAGAGTTTGAGGGTCAGAGGATCACCAAAAGGACACCTTCATGGTTGTGGCAGTCGTCAGCGTCTCAAATGAACATCGATTTATACTGAACAGCTTGAATGTTGGACCCCGTTCCACGGGCGTTTGATCCGATGAACTGAATACCGGTCCCCAATGGATTGCGGTACTCCCACACCACCCTGTTGCCTTGCATGCCATGCTATGGCTAGCTAAAGGCAAATCATGGAACGTTTCCCTTTTTATTGTACCGGGGTTTGTTTGGCACATAGTCTGCGCTCAGACGTGTGAAATATATAAAAATTTTAGCCTTTACTCCATCAAGACTAATAATTCGATGTATCGGAGGGACTTCAGGCTGCGCTGCACAAGTGACTTTCATTGTATAACGCACTGCGCATCTAATCTGATCTCATTGTTCGTCCACACCGGCACTTTGCAGCGCGCTTAGTTAACGTCTCATGATCGGAAAAAGAGCTAGATGAGACGACCAGTGATACGTTAACCAAGTTTGCGGAATTTGCCTACGATACGAGAGCAGAAGCGCAAAATGTATCAAAACAATACGTGTCGGAGCATCGACTTAACCGAATGAATCCATGAGTTTGTCGTAGGACTCATCCTTTTGCACATTAGAAGTGCAGTTGGTCGGCGCATAAGTGGAAATGATGAATGAACATATCTTAGTATTCTTTACCTTCCTAACACCACATGAGTCGCATTTTGCATAGACACCTATTGATGGGTATCCAATCAGTCGCATATTCAGCGTTCAGAACCATACGTACCGCGCGGTGACCTAACGAACGGACTTTGTCATCACCTGAGGATGCAGCTCGTCGACAAACTCGATGCAGTTAACCAGATCATTCGACTACGGTCTCGAAATAGTCATTAATACGCAGAATATACCAACCGCTAGTGATTCGTGGTCGGATAGAGGGACAAAAAGAGACAGTTTGGAATATATGGTAAAGATGTAAACAAGGGTTGAGGTATCTGTGCCGTAGTCCATTTGATATAACCCATCCCGTAAAGTCTCGTGCTGCGCGGTCCTGGGTATTTTGCGCCATGACCGATGCTGTATAGGATTTATGCAAATTTGTATATTTATTTAAGCCCGGTGATAGGAGTCCCACAGCTAATTAGGAGAACGAGCAGAGTTGTCAACCAAACACTTGAGTTTTAACAAGAACTCAACACCACCTTTATTCACATTTACTGGGAAGAAGCACTCTGTTACCCCTGTGGAAGTCCCAAATGTACTGAAGTCTCTTAAATCTAGTAAGGAACATGGCCTTGATTCATTGTCCCCTTTCTGTCGAAAGTGTGCTGAACAACTTGCTTCACCTATTTCCGAGTTGTTCAGTTCGGGTATGTCATCTGGAAGTATCCCTGATTGCTGGAGTTGCCCGGAAAACACCAACCCCCCAAAGGGATCTTCTAAATATCGACCGATTCCTGCATATCAGCATTTTTGAAAGTTTTCGAAAGGGTCCTTCTTAACCGGATGACTCTTTCATCTGTACCTCACGACCCTATTCAATTTGATTACAAAGCGTTCGCTTCCCACTATTGATGATGTTACTCACGTTGTTCACTCCGTTTCATTCTTATTTGATAAAGGATATAGCATCGTCCGTTTAATTTTTTCTTCATTATCGTAATGCTTTCGGATTACCTGACCGCGACGTTCTCATTCAAAGTCTTTCGGATTGTGGTCTGGTACCTGATTTGTTGAATGTAGTAATCAATTACTTCACTTATAGGCCGCAGTTTACTCTTTGTAACGGTAAACCTTACGTCCTGGGGTTTTTCGGGGTGCTTTTTCTTCACTGTACATTATGCACCTCCCCATCCCTCCCAACTTTAGCGCGTGCAAGTATGCTGATGACATAGTGGTCGGTTCTCCCTCGACTGATCCCAAATGTTTCTATCAACTTCAAGATTGTGTAAATAAAATTTTTAGTTGATTTACCCCCTGATCTTTAATGCTCAACGTCGTTAAATGGTTAGATGTTTCTTTCAGCCTTAAAACAGGCACTCATTATCAAACCTTTTTTAGTAACCAGCCCGAACTGTTACTGTAATATCATCCTAAAAGCTGACTCTGACAAATATCTTGGAATTACTTTGCCACATAATCTTTCTTGGTTAAAAAATGTTGAAAACATTTACATTAGGGTTTGTAGACCATCCTCCTAAGCTTTTAGGATTAAAAAGCTCAGCGTTCCCCTAAATGTAATATTTAAATCTGTGAGTGCATACATTCTTCCACATTGGTTGTACTGTTCCCCGTATATTTTCCTGTTCTAAAGGAGGATGACTTTATTCTCTTTTCCAGATCTCTTAAACTTCTCGTTGCAATGGTATTTCGAATACCGTTTGGTTTATTTCATTGTAAGCAAGCATTTTGATTCATGCGATAGATTTATCAGCCATATACTATCAAATGAAGGACACTGCCTGCATGCCCACCTTAACAAATCGGTGTCTCATCTGAGTACGCCTTATAAATTTAGGATTCTTCGTGCACGCACTCCCACATATAAAAACAGCATCATCCCTTATTTCGCTCGTATCTTGGTCAATCGAAGAAATATTATTACTGACTTGGAAAATCATCTGTCACATTAGGATTTTATCACATCCATTTGTTTTTCATTTAGTAAATGTATATTCTTCTTTTTTCAATGTTTAACGTAACTTGTAACTTGTCGAAAGTGAAGAAAATTCATCCTATTGGGTGCATAAAGCTTGATTTAACTTGAATTGTAAAGAAGAGGGTGAGGTGGATAAGAATACTATCTACTTGGATCTACAATTCATCCATTATATTATGGACTGAGATGCCCACTCAAGCTGAACCGCAAACCTTGAGGACCAGGAGACTGTACTTCTTTTGACCTCTGAACTTCCACGTCAGTAATGATTGGATATTCAATCGAACAAAAGCCATCCTGTGTAGCTTTTTTGGTCAGAGTTGCACGAACCATCGAATAACGTCAAACAGTAGTTTCTTCATCGTGATTAAGTCCCGTTTGCCTGATACAGTGATGCACGGATGAATCAGGCAAGTTTTGTTCACCAGGATGCAAGCTTAACTTCGACTATAAAAACCGCTTCGTGCGGGAGAGCTTTGCTATTACACTCTAGTTACTGAACACTTTTTCAGTAGCCTGAAATGGTAACTTTCAAATATCGCCGCAGTTTCACATAAACCAGGATGATACGATAAATGAATTTGTCTGTGGTTTGGATCAATTAGGCTTAAACACAACACGATGTATAAACTGATTAGTATTAAAACAGATTGGATGTTCAGTATCATCCAATTCATAACTATTGTTGCATGGATGGGTTGATTACCTCCGAGCTCCGGTAACGGAGGCGACCAGAGTCAAATTAGTCTTATCATCGGAAATCAAATTTTGCTATTTCACAACATTGCATCAAACCAACTACGCTCTCATTGTAACACAAACCCTGTTTCACGAAATTTTATTTGAAGTGCGACAACTATGGTGGATGAGGTAAATACTCATAACCATTTACATTATTAGTAAATCATATGTGTAATAGGATTTTGAGGGTTACCTACTACTATAATTGCTTTAGGATTCAATGAGATCTATATCGGTGGCACACAACAGGCAAATGTGCGAAAAGGAAATTTACAATCATGAAATCGTAAGAACCAAAAATAGGAGGACATGAAAAATTAAACGGTAACACTATCGGGATCACAGTACAAGTAACCAAGAAAAGGATACAACAGAAATCATCCAGAAGTGATTTTTAAAGTAGGTGCAGTACCAGGATATAATCTAGAGCAAGCTTACACAATCCCTGCATGATATGAAACTGACCCACGTAACAAAATTTCCAGCTAACTCACGATTGAACGGTAAATCACTGTTGAAATCGTGGAACTCACAAGGAAGAAAAAATTCTTCACGATCGACCGGTCGGTTTGATTTGCTGAATATGAAACTCTGGTTATCATATATCATCATTAACATCATCGTACAGCGAAACACAGTTAAGCGAACTTCACTGATCGCTGCCAAACTGGCAATGGAAACAAGGTTAGGGGTAAAATTTAAGGTGGACAGGGATTGGACCTATTTTACGAGAAGGGGGAAAAGGTGAACCTCTATGGTCAACACACAGAGTGCACAATCAAACGCTGCACATATCATTTCAAGCATTCTGGCCTGATAAGAAATTACAACAAGAACGCCACTGCTGTCGGTTAGCTGCCATATCCTTTAGTATCTCCAACCAACCGGTTGCGAAGTATTTCGGACTCCGACCTTGAAGGCGAGAACCACCTACTCTACTTAACGGCAGTGTGCATTTATTCATGCCTCGTCTCCACGTCATCTATTGACCATCACGTGGTTTCCTCCAGCAAGGAGCCGCAACAGCGAATAAAGCGCGATGCGGCAGACGATGACTGGGCATACGCAATACGTGCCCTAGCCAGCGAAGTCTACTAATTTGGATTCAATGTGCTAGCAGGCTTATACCTGATAGAAGTCCAAACACACGATGGTTTACCTCCAGATTGCTACCCAGTTCGCTCCATCTCACGTGTGCTGCACTGCGTAAACATCGATAATCGAAAACCCCTAGTTGATGGATATCTTCCACGCGCAAATTCAACTTCTCACAACCATAGAGCAGAACTGAACGAACAGTAACGTAGTATACACGATCTTTCAACTTCAGTGAAACGTCGCGTCTACGTCAAAGGTCTTTCAGTCCTGCGTACGCTGCTCGAGCCTTGGAAATGCGGGTGGTTATCTT